GTGAGCCCCTCTTGCGATCTCCGTGAAAAGGCTCCGAAACAGGATTACACCATCTAGCTCAGTGCAAAAACCACCAAACATGCACGACTAGTGGTCCAAAAAAACATCTGAACCTCCAGCAAGGGGCCTTGCCCACAGGAGGAATGGAAGGCTGTATAGGCGCCGTCTGCACCGTTGGACCCCTCTTCGACAAACTCCTCACAGTGTTTTGCAATCTAGTTCAACGTGACAAAGCCACTAGGATCACTAGGTCACGAGGAGGGGCACAGCACATCTAGTTCTTTGTCCAAAAGAGGCCAAAAAGTCTGCCCAAGAAGCAGCGGGGCTTGAGGCGGAAGGTGCCTCTCAGAAGGGCCTAACGAAACGTTTGAACTTCCAATAAGGAAAGGCTCTGAAACGGGATGACCCAGCAATGCAAGAAACCACGCAAAGCACACGGAGAGGCAGGCAGCCCTAGCACATCTAGCTCTGCGTCGAAAAGACGCAAGAGAGTCTGCCCAAGGGGCTAACCAATGAAACCATGCCTGTAAGAGCCTCTCGAACCATCGACCCAGCGGGAGTCAGTTGGGCCACGTGCTTGAGGGCTTGTCAAACAACCCATAAAGGCGTGCAAGCCCAGTGGGGCCGACCTTGCTGGAAAGGCACTGAAACGGAACTGTGCCATCCACTTCAATGCAAACATGCACAAATATGGAACGTTTGAACCTCCAACAAAGCGCCTTGCCCACAGAAGGAATAGAAGGCGGTAGAGGCGTCTCCGCCAATAGGGTGACCAACCCATTACTGTATATACCTTTTCGCCACACCCTTAGCTCACCTGGTTCTTCATACTTCTGGACATCCTCGCGACAGGCCGCGACACAGTCCGGCACATCACATGAAATCGTGTGTATTCTTACACGCTCCCCCCACAACCGGCAGGGGTTGGCAGATTCTCATGTGTGAGCTTCTAGGTATGGAAGCACTTCCGGACTACATATTACAACTAGAAGTTGCCCAGCCCCCAGAATACTATAGAATACTGCTTCAATTTCTTTGCCGCCTTTCTGACATTTGGTTGACGTCATTGCTGTTACTAGGAATTGTTGTTTGCCATCGCCTGGTTGGAATTTGATGTTCGTGATTTCAAGCTCCGTCCTTCAAACCAAGTTTGCGCATTTTGTAGTTTTTTTGCAAGCGCTTGACATGTGGGTTCTGGTCCATTCCCTTCGCTGCCTTAGTGGATTCAGTATGTAAGGTGCTGGCCAAAGAAAAGATCAATGGGACAACCTTGGCGCAGTTGACAAATAAACACATCGAAGACTTGGCTTTGTCCTTGGGCGACAAGTTGTCCCTGCATGGTTTCATGAACCGTTTCCGTTCAAGTGCCCGGGCAGCCAAGCGAAGCGAGTCTCTTTGGGAGGCCGAAGAGTTTCCCTACGAATACCAGCTGGTGTCTGGAGCCGGGACTTGCTGTCCCAAGCCGGAGAAGCCGATCCTCTATCATCGCCTCCCAAGGCCAACTACAAAGTCACGAACACCGTTCTGAAAGTGGTTGGGTATCAATGGGTGGATGGAACGGGGGATTCAGCTCGGCCTTTCGAATATGACCAGCAAGTTACTTGCTGTTGCCACACTTGGATCAAGCGCCCCGACTTTGAGTTCGAAGAGTCCACGGACAACATTGACCTGAGTTGCATCTCTGATATTGATGTGGTGGTTTCGAGCAACTTTCAACCGGAGACGTACACCCCAACTCCGCAGGACAAGCAGAATGGCTACTGCAAGGAGCTTCTCGTCGCAAAGCCAGGCTTGGTCATCGTGACTTACACATCCCCCACCATGGGTATTACGAAGAAGGTGTTAGGCGTTGATCCCGCTACGGCACAGAAAGTGGCAGACATCATCATCCATGCAAAGGAGGAGACCCAAGCAGAAGATTCAGGTTCTGGCAAGATTGATTGAGCGCAAGCAGGGGCTTTTGGGCGCGCCGGAATCTCATTTGGTGCGCTCAAGATCTGGGCCAAGTGGAGATGAAACCGGATGACAATTTTATGCGACAATTCTTGCAGATCTCAGGCAACGCTGTTTGAGTTTCAGATTCATAGGGACCACATAGAGCAACTGGTGTTTGAACAAAAATGACATCCACATGAGCCCTGGAGGGCTGAAATTCTATAGCGTACGTTGTTGAGATATCAAACAAGGGGTGATGAGGTGATTCCTGTACCGGCCCAAACGCGCATCAGTCAGATAGACGTCCCAAAAGAGCAAAGTCGCCCTGCGAAAGTCGCATTGGGGTGGGTTGTTTCCCCAAGCAAGCCGCCACGCCGCCATGGCCATTGCTAGGCTTGCTAATGGCAGTTTTAGTCATTGCAGATTGACCCAGGTCTTGAATGCTGCGTAGCACCATTGCCCTCGCGGTCCTTTGTGGCCCTGACTGGACCAGCGGAAATTACTGGCCCTGCAGGTAATCTTTTCGCTGCAGGTTGAGAAGCGAGACTCTCCCATAAGGACCGGAACAGCGGAACCCTTCCTGCTGCAGGTCGACAACTTGACTGCTGTTGATATCCAGGAGCAAAATGAGTTTTTGCAGGCTTTGAAAGGCGTTGAAAGGCTTTCACGAGTTTGCAGGGAATGGCATTGATTTGGCAAGTTTGCTGGCGAGGCCTTATCGACTCAGTCCCTTCAGCCTGCCGAAAGGCAGAGCCTGGCCAAATGCCACTTGGCACCGAGTTGCCAGCCGAGTAGGTTCTGCTGGACTAGGCTGCTGAACAGGCAAAGATGCCAAAGCTTTATAAAGAATCTCAGATTCTCACAAGGAGGGTGCCCTGTTTCTGTCCTTTTGCCTTCTGCTAGGGGTTTAGCGGTTCGGAGACGGCCAGCTGGGAGGAGTTCAGATGGGCTCAGGTCGCCATTCTCACCCCCGCTATAGCCGTACTTTGAAAGGCGTGTGCCGGGCGCATGGGCTGGGGGTTGAGGAAGACCTTTCGACGGAGCATTGCATACAGATTCTCTCACTTGAAGTGCAAGCACCAATTTTGAGGGTTGGATGCTGGCTGAGTCAGGTGGTGGAGGAATGGCAGAGATTCTTTACCCTTTTGTCGGAGTCACAAGTGCGTTCCGTGTGCGACACCAACCTCAGGAAGTCACTCACCACAGGAACTAGGACCACCAGAATGTGTTGAGCATAGAGAAGTTCCCATTGGTCACAAACCTGGTTTTCCGAATCAAATATATGTTAACACGGTGTTTCAATGCAACGTCACACGAGTGATGCTGATTCGTTCAACATCCCTCAACGATAAGATTGGTGGCTTGATGAGATTTTTTGTCCATGCACGTGCTGACATTTTCAATCTTCGAACTGTTGAACAGGGAATAGTAACATATAGTGACATACAGTAACTGAATGTATAATATATTCGTATTAATAATTAGGTACAAGGATCCCGGATCTGTCGGAAGCTTTGTTTTCGAGTGCCCAGCACAGCATCAGGTGGCAGTAAACGTCAGCCCATGCACGCCATCTGCAGTGCTGGAGGCGCCCTGAAAGGGCGCCCTCGGCCGGGTGGCGTTGGGGAAGGAGGGTGGGGCTTTTCGCAGGAATGTGCTCAGGGTTTCGCCTGCTCTCAACGCTTTGGGCTTTCCAAGCGTTCCAACGTGTCGTGTGAAGATGCCTTGGCCCAGCTTGCCCCTTCTAATTGTGGAACACAGGTTGAGTGGATTGAACGAAGTGTTGAAGACATGTTCTGTTCAAAGGCACTGGCACAGCTTTGAGAGCATCCAAATCTGGGACATGCCTGTGGAGAGTCCTCCTACCCTGACCACCCAGCGGCAGAAGATCTCCCCCTGAAGAAGCTGATGCACCCAGGCCTTTCTCTTAGGCCAAAAAGCCGTCGTTTTTCCCCGGCCTCCGGCAGATTGGACAGGATGACAGTAGCAAAGGCTTGACGGACTTGTCAGGATGACTATGAATTTTCGACACAACACCGTTGAACAAAGTCGATTCAGCTGGATGCACGGGAGTTTTAGGAAAATGCGCTTTGTAGGATTGGTTTCAGCAGGCCGCAGGCAAGAGCAACAAAGGCTTGGAGTAGAGACAGAGCAACTTCTGGATAGTTTCCCACAGCAGAGTTTGACCATCGGTTTGCCGTGATTTGCCACGAGAAAATACTGGAAAGAGCTGGTCATTCACATACCATTCGGCCACGCCGTTCTGGGGGAACAACAAAAATGGACCGGATCTCAAACACAGGAGCGATCGGACGCTACTAGGGGCTCCTGGCATCGCTACTATTAGAATAATGTTGAGCATAGATTCTGAACAGCCTGATGCGCACCTGTGAAGCAACCAACTGGTCTGTGGCATCACAAGCCCAAGACACCAACCCGCCAGAGAGGTTGACATGCTCAGTTGCGGTGTGACACACAGGACACTCAACGCACAATTCAGAACGGAGGTGACACACCTTCCTTATCCTTCTTCATAATCTCTTGCTTTGGAATGCATCAAAAACCATGCTTTTCATGTGCTAACAAGGGTATCCTCCGACCCAACAGATCCCGGTTTTAGAAAACCCTACCGCCATGGGACCATGGGACTTCTTGTTAGCTTTATTGTAGGTATGTTGAGATTGACAGAAGAGTTTCAGCTGCCACTCTCAGCTGCGCATGTCAATCCTTTTTTGTCGATCATGTCCCAGCTGGGTCGTGGTGGGCAGTCAATGTAGATCGATCTGTGCTTTGTGCTCTTTCTTATTCTTTCTTATGTTTGTATACGGCATACACTATGAACATGGCATCACCTGGGTGTTCCCCGCAGTGTTGCTTCCTTGTGAGAGTCAATGGATTGCCTTCGGGCGAAATCTGGAGAAACCCCCCAGAGGGGGCAAGTTCAGATGAGTTTTGCGTGGAAGTCAATCAATGCCTGTGGCCCAAATCGGGGCCTCAAGAAGGGATACTGTACAGTGCAATGAAGACAGGTCTCTACCCATATGTTTAGTGGTTCGTTCACGTTCTTATGATATGGGAAACCTTTTGCAGTGCACGCCCTGTTTGTCGTATTTTGTTGGTTCTGATTCGCCTGGCAAACATCATACAGGCAGAAGGTGGTATGGGGCTGCCCAGCAGGTTGCTGCAAGTGGCAACGTTCTCTTCTTTGCAGATTCGACCTTCCATCACAGTCTGTACGGCTGCGCTCTAAGCATCCCTTTGGTATTGATCGGCTTGCTCTACAAACGAGGCTGATGCCCTATAGGCGCTGTGCGCCTGCGTGCAGTAGCGCCGATGCGTCGTTGGCAGAGAGGGCTAGGAAACTCCAACAAAGAGTGAAAGCGGCTGAAGGGTTCTGCTTGTTCTTAAAACTATGTATGATATGACTCAGATGGTTGTCTTGTCATGAATTGCTTTTTAAACCATCAAACATGATGCGCAAATGGCTCAAACAAATCCTTCACGAGTGAGTTAGTAAAGGATCTACAACGATGCCGATGTCAATCAAATGAGGATATTTCCTGCCAAGACACGTCTTTTCACTGGGCCTTAGAAGATGCGCTGAGCCGAGCAAGAGTCTTGCACAGGAAGGAGCTTGCAAACGTATGGAAAGGAACGCAAAACACTTTGGCCAGGGGTGGTGTGGCAGTTGTAAAAATAAGGAGCTGAAGGAGCCCGTTCGACTTCAAGACAAACATGCTTTTTAGTGTGTTCTATAAGCAGTGAGGTAAGTAGCATGACGCCATGCATGCAGCCATTCGTGACACTCGGTTGGTGTTCTCCGTGTTGGTGGAAAATTCATTAAACAAACAGCCTCACTAAAGCTAAGTTCATGTTGCAAGAGAAGTCTGACAGGTGCCCAGACAAGTCATTTATGACTGGAGGCCAGAAACCAATTACTTCACTGGAAGGACCAGCCAATCTACTGAGCATTCGTGCAATGGCCTGAGAGTATGACGGCCCAAAATGAAAAACCCAGTTCGTATGGTGCTGATTTTTTCAAGGACTGACATGGGTCTCAGAAGTCTTGAGAAGTCTTGAAAAGAAACAGTAGCTGAACTTTGCTATGCCTTCAATATACTTGTAGGATCGCCTCGAAACCCACCGTCATATGCAAAACAAATCCGAACAGCGTTTTCTCAGGGGGCGAACGAGGTGATTCTTCCAACCAAGGAAGCTTTAAAACTCCTCCGGACCATGTAGTTTGTAAACTAATTGCTCTTGGGTTGGAGACCATCGCTACTAGGTTGGAGGCCATTGCTAGTAGATTCTTCTGAAGCCACGGCTCTTCGCGAGTTCGTTCAGCCCGGCTCTGCGCGTTTGAACCTTCCATGCCGCGCGGCGTGGGCTTGGCGATCCGACTCCAGCGGACTCAAAGATCTGCGAATCGTGGGCTCGGCTTAGCCAAAGCACAGAAGATGACCAACCTCAACCCCCTCTTCCTCCCCTTCTTCCTCCTCTTCCTTTTCTGTTTCGATTTCTTTCTGCAGCTCATGTTTTTACTTTTCATGACGTGTCATTGACGTGCTTTGCCCGAATGTTTCGAGATCCCTCACCTCCACTTCCCACCTGCAGATTCTTGCAGTCTTCAACAAAACCCACTTACTATCATAATCACCAAAAAGGCATGTCATGCCTTCAACCTAGTTACTTGGAAGATTCGACTTCTTCCCCAAACGCCCCCATTTTTGTGAGACTGTGGTGCTTTCAACACAGGTAGACGCTTTAAAGATGGCCCTCCCAGCACAAGAGGAGAATGCAGTCCTCAGTACGTTACCTCAGTACGTTACCTCAGTACTAGAAATCGTTCGAGCCGGGCGACCGGCTCCCCGATAAGTCAGCATTGGTCTTTGGTAACCTTGAAGTGGCTGTGATTCAAACATTTGCCATACCCTAGTGGAGGACTTTGACAGGTCTTTCAATTCACATCCAAGAGGACGGTACTGAAGGACTCCACGGTCCCATGGTGAGCCTCAAAGACTTGCGGATTGTGAGTGCGCATTCTTCGTCCAATGCAATTAGAGTAGGTTGCCGTCCAGCCAAGTGCCGGAGATCCACACCGACACCGACTCGACTTTTCTGTGCATGACTCCAGCCAGACACCTTCACAGTTCTTTGGCAAGTGCTTGAGGGGAGGACCTTGATGATTTGATGTTGATTGAATTTGAACTCATGACATGTCATGTCGGCCAATTCGGATCTCTGGCAGCTTAGCTTTACTTTGGTCGGCCGACGCTTGGCGGCAGGGGGGAGGTGGCCCACCGTGTTCTGCGTGTTGGCGAAGCTCGGTCAAATGGTCTCTTCATTGGTCTACCGGGTCTATCCGTAACTAGGGGCTCCTGGCCTTACTAGGAGCGATCGGACGCTACGAACGGGGCTCCTGGCATCGCTACTAGGAGCATTCTTGCTTCTAGTACTCGTTTCATCCCTTTTCCTGCACAGGTTGGGAGACCCAAACCAGCCGGTTGGTGACATTTGGGATCCAGTTGGAACGCGCGATGATGGAAAGGAGAAGCCTCGTGAGCTTTGTAATCCCAAATTTGATCTGGGAGAGTCTATGATGGTGTATAGTTAATATTCCACCCTACCGAGAGCCAAAGCCTATGCTGATTCTTTTTGTGATGCCTTACAATTCACTTGATCCGAAGGCATACGAATACTGGCATGATGCCACGGCCGCAGTCAATCCTGATAATCTGAAGGCCAGAGATAGTGGGACCGGACCAGGTCTGGAATGTTCATATTTCCACGGTGAAGGAAGTCCTCGGATTCACGTGAAGTGTGCGGAGTGTCATGGGATGTGGCATTTCTAGGTGTCAATGATTGGTGGGAGGATGACTCTCTTTTCAGTGTACCTAGTGAACGCCAATGCCTGCTGCCTGCTCGAATCATTGCTCTGAGGGGATGAGAGACAACACACAACTGGCGGTGGGGACGAAGCAAATGCGTTCTGGCAACTGGGCGTGAAGAGCGAAAGGGGTTTGGTTGCTCCCACATAGATCCCCAAGTAGCTAGTCCTGTGACTTTCTAACATCTATGGGAAGCTCACTAAAGCTATAGTGTGACAACCAAAAAATTTACTGTATGACCTATGTGCTGCCAAAAGAATTGGTGGTAGTCGTAGTGGTTTAAAAGGAATAGTCATTCTTGCTTTGCATCTTTTGTACAACCTACGATTGGGGCTTGGTCCTTGGTAGGATGACAATCCCCAGCACAAGGAGTTTTCATCATGGCACACATGTCACAGAATCGTGTTGCCTTTCTTTGCCGCTGGGTTCCAAAATACACTGAACTACCATGACCAGGAGATGGATGACCCACCCATGGTCGTATACAAATCCTGGAACTACCTATCATGTCTACACAAGTGAACTTACTAGTTATGAGTTTTCAGCATGGCCCTTTTTGCCCGATGTCTTTTTTTTTGCAGGGTATCTTCCCTTGGCCATGTATGTCCAAAATACACAATACACATCAATACACTAAAATACGAGCATCGAACAGGCTCAGGGCTCTTTTGGATGAACTCTCTTCGAAGTCACTCGAAATGGCTGCCATTCCGAAGCATGGGGGGTGAGCCGAGCAAGCAAAGAGCCCAGCAAGCCGAGCTCACAGTTCAATGGAGTGAAGTGAGCACCAGTGCGGCGCAGTGCGTTCTGACCGTTCCACCGAGGCCTGCAGAAGCTGCAGGTGATCTCAAGAGAAAAGGGCTCAGCTGTCACGGTTGGATGGACCACCCATGAGAGGGGACGAGCTGAACAAAGAGCTGCGAAGCAGCCGGACAACTTGAAAAGGATAGCAAGCACATAGCTTGAAGGATATTCCAACACATTAATAAGCCGAAGAGATCCGACTTGATTCGCTTCTACCTTGCAGACGCCTGGGTCTAGAGTCCATCGATGAGCAGATTGTCGAAAGTACATTGGTAGGGGCATTCTTACTTCGTTCAAAGAGAAGGCCACATCTAGCGTTTGCATATAGCATCATATATCCATACTTGTACAGTCCAGTCGGGCCAACGATTGTCACACACACACACACACACACACGCACAGACAATCAGAACAGCACAAACCCATCCACATCATCAAGAGTTTACAACATGACATTGGCCATGAAATCGCAACCTTCTTCGGTGAACTCTTTCGCTGATGGCGTTGCGAGCCTATCGCCATGAGTGGCGCCTCCCATTCCGCTTGGCGAGGCGAAGCAAGCAGAGACATCCAAGTCAACCTGAGAAGGGTCAAAGACTTGATCTTCCTGGTGATCGACGGGCTTTAGTGTATGATGTCTTCACATGTGTTGTTTTCGGTTCTCGACACAGGCGGCAGCTGGGCGACAGTGTGCATGGGCCGCCCTTGAACGACCTGGCCGGGAATTGGAGAAAGGCAAAGGCCGGAAAGGGTTTTGGGGCTGAAGTGCGTGGAGCACAGACAGCATGATCCTGGTGTTCGCCGTGCTCAACCATTGGGCTTGGGGTTTTGGGGAAGAAACAAAAATGACCCAATTTAATTGTAATTACTAGCTTCTTATTACTACTAGTAAGGCACTTGTTACTACTAGCGAGGCACTTGTAATTACTAGCGAGGGGTGACCCAGCAAGTTTCAGACTTGGTGGAGCATGTTTTCGGTTGCACCATGTTGCACCCATGCGACGATTGGCTGCGCTGGATGGAACTTGGATGGAACCGGATGAAAGCCGGTTCCAGGAATTCTTCACCAAGCCGGCTCTCTCCTATGGCGAGTTTAAGCAGCAGTGCGTGCTCGGTGGCCCAAAGGTCACGAGCTTTCTGAAATGGATGCTGTACTCTTGAGCTCCTCTCTCGGGCTCTTTGCTGGGGCATTTAGGTGCCCTACAGTCCAATCATAGGCACTCACGCAGGACAACTAACAAGGCAATAGACCACAGGGAGTCCTTTTTTACATCGACCCCCTTTCGAGTCACATCACGGCCCTTTCGACCGGGGCGGCTTCTCTGCGGCTTGTGCCACCGAAGTCTGCAAGGTCTCTGCGGCTCTTTGCCTTTGGAGGCGTTTGCGGGGCTTGTGCCGGGCACTGAGACCGAAGACAGTCAGCGATAGAATGGCTTCACCCACAAGGACAGGGACGCATTCCAGGTTCATGTGATGCAGTCATGAAGCGAGCCATAGTCACATATCATATACGACATCAAAGTAGACAGCCGGATTGGACGCTGACAGTGACACGAGCTTGGTTTGTTGCGTGATCATGCTGATTTGAGGCCCTTTCTCTGGTGATTTTCCCTCCGTTGGGGCCTTGAAGAGTGTTTGGGGGTGGTATGTTTGGGCAAGAGCAGATGTCGCAACAACACTCTGTCTGACAGACCAATCAGATGGAAGTGGAGAACTCTTTGGTTGTAGAATGTTGTAGAGGATTTTCCATTTTTACAAGGGCCATTTTTCCACCGAAAGAGTGTACTTGGCTTTCCTTCGTGGGTGGACACAGAGCCCCCACAGATGTTTGATGCTATTCGGCAAAAGGGAGGCATTTCGACCACAGGATTACCACAGGACTCCATTTCTGGCCAAGGAGAATGACAGACATCGGATGGGGTAGCGAGCCGTCGAAGGTGCGAGCCGGGCGGTCCTGCGGTCTTCGCTCGGATCAAGCTGAAGGCGAGGTCGCCACTCGGATCGATCGCCTCAGGAAGTCGTCCTACTGGGTCACATGGGGCCCATCATACTGGTTTTCTCATGCCATTTGGCTTGGACTGTGGCGTGTGCTCGGCGTGTTGGTTGGGTGGGTGGGCGGCTCGGAGTCCTTTTTTTTGGGGGGGTAGTACAGGAGGACCTTTGGGGAATGCTCAGGCGTACAAGAGTGCAGTGCAGTTTCAAGGATTTTTGCAGTTCCTCGACTTTACCTCCCGACTGCATCAAGCCTTGTCCGCCAAAGATTGAAGAGGTGCAGGGAGAGATTTTGGAGTTAAAGCAATCATTTGAATCTAACTCAAGAGTTCATCCTAACTACAGCTTGAAACAAAAGAGGGGGTGCTTGGAAACTGAGGTGCAACGCTGCTTTGGAAGCGCTCCGCCGTTGTTCCTCAGCAAGAAGCTGGAGACGACGGTGTCCGCACCAAAGGTGGCTTCTGCACCAAAGGTGGAGCAACTCAGGTGCCGAATGGGAGCAAACAGACATCAGCATGACCTCGAGGCCTTAGGGGCACATAGGCATACATAGCATGCGAATCATGCGATGGTTGTGCAATGTGGGTGTGCAATTGGTCTCTATTCGTTCGGCCTCTTGACACGCATGTTGTTCGGACAACAGGTCTCGCTCGGCCAGGTCAGAGTCCTCGGCCGCCCCAGCTGTGAGCCCCAAGGCGTCGGAGCGATCGGTTGGAGCCAGTAGGCCGTAGGACCAACCTGGCCGAGCCAGCAGGTTGGTGAGTCCTTGTATGGCCTCTTCTTTCGATTAGTAATGAGTAATGACTGACAGTGGCTTCATGGAGGGGATGCCTCACGCGAGAGATCTTGTTGCTTCCAGCAACCCTGATACTGACGGCCTGTTGTAAAGCAAAGGGGTTACACACTTTTTCCTTTCACCTTTTTGTCTTTTGTCTTCCCTGTCTTGAGGCCGCAGCTGTCCCTGCCAAACCACGGGTGCTCTTCGTGTTGGGAGGACCAGGTGCTGGCAAAGGCACTCAGTGAACCTTGGCAGCTCTGGGGTTTCCCGGGTGCGACCCCGAAGGGTCCGATGGACGGTGAGGGAACCGAAGGGAACCGAAGGGAACGGAAGGGCATGGGTTCCAATTTTTCCATACCCGGAATCATGCCCTGGAATCATACTGCCTGTTCAAACCTCCGAGCCCGACCACGGCAAAAATATACAAACCCATATGTTTCAATTGGTGTAAGAAAGGACAGCTCGCGACAGCTGGTTTTTTCATTGTTTTGGATTTGGGAAAAGGGACGTTTGGCCAGCACATGGTTTGTCGCGGCTTGTCGTCATATGAATCCAGTTTTCATTGACGTCCCACCTAGTCCTCGACTCCTAGACCAGAACACCAAGCTCTTTTGGACCATCGATGTTCCTCTTGTTCCGGGTTCATCTTTCACTGGGCTTCGCCGCTCCAAACTGGTGGTCATTGCTTCGCCGCCGCGAACGCGGCGCTTCGCGTACCGCCCGAGGTGCGAAGATCTGTGAGCACTTCCCTCAGTGGCAGCACATCTCGGCGGGCGATTGCCTGCGTGCCGAGCGGCAGGATCCCAACTCCAAGGCGTGCGGTTTTCTTGGAGAGACGGACCGTTTGAGATGGGGAAGAAGTGCAGCTGGTTTCTTTGGGCAAGTTGGAAACTGAAAACATGGAAGTTCTCTCTTCTAGACAATATGAACGGAGGAGAACCCAACATGTGAGTGAGTGACCGCAAGACAAATTTGCAGAGAAGAGGAAAGAGGGCCTTCATTTGTGGATTGGGGAATCCACAGACTCATCATCTCCATCCACGGTGAACTGTTGAGGATGTTTAGGTAAGGCAATATTTGGGCGATGAAGCATCTCGCATCTTTTGCCAGGATGGTGAGTTGATCAACACCTGCCTCAAGGATTGGGTGTTTGCAGTGGTGCCAGTTCCATCACCCTGATGTTGTCGCTCCATGCGTGTTCTTGAACTTCCTCATATCCCAAACATATGACAGAGGGAGAGTGACATGGCACCTGTGAGACTGACCCGCACCAAGTTGCTGGCGAGGAGGGGAAGATTGTCCCGGTGCAGATTACCGTTCGCTTGCTCCAAAAGGAGGGGCCTTTGAGCAACAGCGACCATTGGCAAAGAGTGCCTGTAGAAACGCAGCGCACCAACACTGCCTAACTGAAGCCTGCTCTTTTCGTGACCCCCACCCAACCAAAGCCTACAACAGCAGAAAGCTTGGGCAGTGGCTAAACCCGAGAATGGTCCGACTTCATGAAACTGTGTTTCCCTCCTTGATTGATCATGATGGCACATTTTTGGGATCACTTTTTCGAGGCAATGGTGGCTGGGCAGAAGGAAGGCAAGACCGACTTTCTGATAGATGGCTTCCCAAGGAATCTGGACAATGTGCCTTGGGCCAAGAACACAGAGTATGCGGAACAGGGCAGAACGTGGCGCTGGGATAGATTTGGCCGAAGTGGAAAGGAGGAACGCCAGGTTCCTGCAAAGGCAGGCATGTAAATTAAAATCTCTTGGGAGGGGCCGTCTGAGCACGTCTGGCAGAAAAGCAAACAAGCAGATGATGGTTGGACTGTTGGGTCTCAAAAGGTCTCCGATACTTCAATGATCAAACATGATCAAACCAAATCATCAGATCTTCTCCGAGGTGAATGGCTGGGAAGAGGTCATTGGCGACAGCGCAAATGTCATGGGAGCATCTCGTTTGCACTTTGGAGCCCCATCAATGGCTGCACTCGTGGCATCCCGCAATATTTTTTGGTGCTCCAGTATACAGCATACAGCATACACAGAAAAAAATAGCTTTAGCAGCTTGCTCCCGCTCAAAAGATTTCTGCAATCTCATCATTCTGCATATTTTAGCACATGTCTACCTTGCCTCCCCTAACACAACACAGACACACTCTGGTTTCCTTGGTTTCGGCTGCCTTACGTTTCCGCCAGGTGCTTTTCTTCGAAGCGGCGCAATCGGAGATGGAGCTGCTCGACACCATGGCATGGGAAGACCGGGGAAAACCGTTGTTCTCCACATACATTCGTTGGAAACCCACCGACCGAGGAAGCGTCTGCTGGGGCGTTCTGAGACCAGTGCCTCGGTGAAAAAGATCCTTGTCCAACGACAAAATCAATCATTAAGATCCTCCACCCTAGTAGTTTCTTGTCCTCCACCTAATAGCGTCCTTGCTACTAGTAATTACTGTAAGTATGATCAGATATGCCACAATTAGTTTGTCAAAGGAAGCACACATGTGAAACATTTGCGTGTGTCTAAGGCGGCCGCGTTGACGATAACTTGGAAAGCATCCGGAAGCGCTTTGCGACCTATGAGAAGGATTCCAAGAGATATCCGTACCTTGGGGTTGGAGATGATTTGAGCATGAAGGTTCTATTAAACGTCATGAAACGTCATGCCGTAAATCAAGTCATGTGACCAGCAGTTTGGAAGGTTTTGAAGTCATGATGTCATGTGTATTCCAGATGTCAATAGTGGCTTCCGTAGAAGAAAAGAGATGTGTTCAGTCCAGCCAAGACGATCAGTGACGAGTAAACATCAAGACTTTTATTTGTGCACAATAAGCAAACATCTTATATTGTGAATATTATGAAACAGCAATTGCTACAGCAATCCCTTTGCATTTTGGCTCAATGTGCCACTGTTGTGTGCTTCAAAGACTCTCTGAAATGATTTGAAAGCCACTGGGATGCTCTGAGAACTCTTTGAAGGAGACCAGGCCAATTGTCGAGAAGTACAGAGATAAGGACTTTGTGCTTCAGCAACACCACTTGCAAAGCTTGATTTGTCGAGAACATATATAGAGCTTAGTCACGACTTGTAGGACAAACGATTTGCCTGCGAACTAGAAGATGTGTTCACAGCTTTTCAGATGCACTCATTTACTCCGTTGCACTTGGGAAGTCTTGTAGTTTCTTCCGGGACGGATCCACCTGCAACCGGAGGAGATGGTTTTCTCTGTGGATGCCATGCAGTCGATCGAGAGCGAATCTTGGCGAAAGGCAGATGACATGTAATCGGTTCAATCATGTTCGATGCACTATAGTGTTGCCCTTTGTTCGTAGTAGTAATGCCAGGAGCTACTAGTAGCTTCTTGCTCCTAGTAGCGATGCCCGTTGTTACTAGTAGCTTCTTGTTACTAATAGCGACGCCCTTTGCTACAATACAATTATATGTGACATGATGTCACTAACAAGAGCTATTGTGTGTCCCCCAGCCAGAGTGTTGGGGCATTCCTGGAAGTTGGAGCGTTTTGGTCCCCCCGGACATTGCATGTGTGGCATCGCTATGTTTCACGAGGGATGGGGCTTTTGTCCCATACAAGTTGGTGCGTAGCGCGACCTTGATCCCTGAACATCAGACCAGCACCCGCTCCAGTGATCTCTAGCCCGGTAGAAAGGGGAAAAAGAGTCTCCGAAACCAAACCAGAAGAGGCACCTCTTGGAGGTGCTCCACTCATATCGTTGGAGGTGCCTCTTGCCACGCTGAGGTCTGGTCCCATACGCTTGCAAAGCTTCGACAGGTGGTTTGGACCTTGGGGTGACGAAGGGACAGCTGCAATTGGTGGTGGTCAGTAGGTTGTCAGTTGCGTCCCTGGTTGGAATAGCGACCTGTTGGCTGTCGGTTGGTTTGTTGGGAGCAAAGAAAGGATGTGAGGATTGTGTTGAGGATTTGTTTTGGCAAAGACAATCACAACTTGGGCTCAGACAGTGGCCCCAACTCCTCTGACACCCCAAATTGTTTGCTCCTTCGGCCTCCAATACACATGGAACTGACAAACTGAAGAACCTGCGGCCTTCTTCCTTCTACCCAAGGAGAGCATCGCCAAGTTTGGCCAGTGAGTCGAAGTATGAGAGCGAAAAGGGCAAGAGAATGCGAGATTCCTGTGTGTCTTTCTTTATGAGTAGACTGTTCAGGTGACACTTGTTGTTGTTGTTGTTGTTGCTGCTGCTGTTGTTGTTGTTGTTGTTGTTATTGTGGTGGTGGTGGTGGTGGTGGTGGTGTGGTATTGGTAGTGGTTGCGGGAACAAGAACTCAGAAGCCATGGATCATGTGTTCAGACGGCAGGTATTCAATCCACCATGCAAACCTTGGATCTGAAGCTTGGGACGGCTAGCAACCCACAGGCCCATCAGGAAAACGGCATTTCAAACCAACCAGAGCCTGGCCTAACCCTGTAACCCAAGCCTGTCCAGGTTTCGTTCCATTGTGGACTTGTGGAACAGGATGCGGCTTGAATGTTCAGAGTCCAGCAGCCATATTTTCTAAAGTGAGACGTCAGCTGACAGCCAATCTCTTGCCTCTGAAACCGACCGCTGAGTAAGAAGTGACGAGCCACATCCCATACCAACAGCTGGAGCAACCACGCTTAGATCAAGCAAATTTGAGCACCAAACTCGACGGTGAAGCGGGCATCCCTCTTTCCAGCGGCGGTCTCGCCATGGCCTCTCGCGAGGCCCTCCAGAAGAATATTGAGCCAATTGTTTTACTTAAGATATGACGCTTTTTGACTCAGTTATCTGAAGCTTTGCAACTGATACAGCAATGCTTTCGCAGGGCAACCCCTCCTAGGAGCCTAATTTCAGAGGCGTCCAGGAGGTTCACCGACCAATCTCCAGTTCATATTTCAATGATTTGAACTTGAACACACCTGGACCATCCTGGACCTGACATCACAGTCTTGGTCACCTGCAAGGCAGCAGCTTTACAAGGCAGGACAGTTGTCAGCTTCTAGATACGAGTAATGCCCTTGTTACTAGTCGTAACAGGTGCAGCCCTTGTTACTACTAGTAACAAGTGCATTGCTACTAGTAACAAGAAACTACTAGTAGCGATGCCCTTGTTACTACCAGCGATCCCCTTGCCTCAGAAGAGTAACCTTCCCCGCCGCACGTGGCCGCGCTGCCGCACGCGGTGAGGCTCAGCCTCCGTCAATTCGACGCCAAGGTGGCCTCAAACGTGAGATAATTTGAATCATGGCAGTGTTTCTCACAGGGTCTTGATTTTGAGATTTCCTGAAAGACATGTTAACCATGTTGAACCCATTTCTGGGGAATCTGAAGAATTGAGTTCTGGTTTTGTTCAGTGTTAGGCACCGCATCAACCCTGCAAAGTGCGACAGAATGTCAGGCTGAGCTCTCGAGGCCAACAGGCAGAAAAGCTGGGGTTGTTTGGATAGGCTGACTCAAGCACGAGGTACAACGACACATGTCACCGCAATTCTATAGAGCCGTTCTGTTCATGCTTTTGTGTATTGCAAAAGAGTGTAAGCCAAAACAGATGAGGAGAGTTTGGCCTGTTTACACCATTGCGGTTTAGGTTTGATCCACATGCTTCGTTTACAAAGCCACGGGCTTTCCCCTTTGCTTTTGAGCTTCCTTTTTGGCGAAAGGATGCGTTAGAAGTTAGAAGGGAGAGTTGGCGTCCAAAAAGTCCCGCCTTGGCGCTGCCGGACCTGAACCATGCCCATTGGTGACAGGAACGCAGTTTTTACTTTGCTGCTTGCCATCGTTTCTGTTCTCTTCATCCGTTTCCGGCTTTTCAACAATCATGTGCCTCAATCCATCGATGGGATCATGACGCTTTGTATGGATATGACATATTGTTCAAAATCCATGTTGTTACCCTTCCGGTGATCTTCATGGTTTCAGCCTTCTTTGCTACAGGGCTGGAGTCTGGACGGTCACTCTGGCACAAATTCACCGGAGTGAAGCTGCGACCGGATACCACGGACACCTGGTCCATCCATATTTTTGCTGAACTGACATGGCACATAGCCCTACACATGCGATCCGACAAAACAAGGTCCGCTCTTTTTTCCTTCCTTAGAGTCATGCTACAATTGTGTCAGGCGCGGCCGGGGGTGGAAACAAATACCCACAATACTGTGTGTGTCTTCGCAGGCCTTTCCGAAGAGAGAGGGCACCAAACCAGACAGAACACCAAAGGAATCAGGCAAGTGGCGTTCAGGTGCTTCATTTGAAATTGCATCTTCAGGGCTAAACATTTGGGTGGCATTGTTTTGTTTGCTTTGTCCAATTAGGTGAACGAGAGATTATATAGTTTGTCACGATTTCAGAGGCGCAACATAAGTCTTGGTCTGTGTTCCTCGCGCAGGTGTTTCACAATTTGAGCAAACTCAGTGGGATTCTCTCCCAGCCATTAGCCAATCCTGCGGCAAAAGCCGGTTCAAAAGTGTGGGTGTTTGCTGCTTGTCAACTGTCAAAGCAGAACGCCAGGTGACAAGAACGATTGGAATCCGAAAGGCAGGCATGACGATTTTCTTGTGGAGCGACTGGTAGAGGTGATGACACACATTCCTACCATAGAAGTCGGGGTCCGGTCGTGGAGGGGGTGCTGATCATCCAGTCCAATCGAATCAAAGAAGTCTGAGAGCTGATGATGATGACGATGATGACGATGATTTTGACTTCACTCAGAGAATCCAAATCACATCGGGCATGACGGCCCCAAAGCACCACGCCAGATGTGTGGGTTCATATCTACCACTGCGACCCGTACACCGGATTCCTCAATCGGTCAGAAGCTGAGCCAGAAGACGGGCAGGTTTAGAGCAGATGGGGTGAGTTGCTCTTCAGCTTTTCGAGAGCAGAATTTATTCTTGATGTAATGATGCTACCGAGAAATTCTGGACGCGTTGGCTGCAGGATGCTGCTCAAGAATTCTGAGATAGGTGTGGCAGGGCAGTGTACCGCCGAGGACGTGTAGGTGTCGTGGTGGTGTGGTGGCTGCTTGCGTAGCTCAGTGTGGGGGTCCCCAAAATTGTTCATGGATGTTGAATTGGTGCCTTTGATGAACTTTGGGGATGGGGTACTTGAGTGATGTATATCTATCCCAAGGTGGCCGGAGTTCATCGTGTTTATCCGAACCGTTGGTTCGGTGAATGGTTCGTTCTTCCAGGCATCTACCATGCTGGGATCGAGGTCTACGGAGAGGACTGAGGGATGGTCGGGGGTCTGTTTGATGGAGTGGGGGCCCCTATTATGTTGCATTGGTTTCGGGTATCAGATCTCCAGCATATTTGTCCATGCAGGAATGCTTTGAACAGTCTGACAGTTGACTTGCCATTTATTTGCTGTGCCAAGAGCAGCCGGCTCAACCCTCTTGAGGACACATTCAGATGTAATCAAAAGGGCTCATGCGCCCAACATGGTCTAGGAGTCTAACACTGACCACTGCACCTGATGATTCATGATGCCTCTTTGACTCTATGGTGTTTTCTTTCACACGTGCCGCTTCAGTAGTCCAGGGGGGCTGGTGCAACAGCAGCCTAATAGACTAATAGCGATTGCCTCCAACCTACTAGCGATGGCTTCCAATGAGGAGTGGTCTTTTCAGTACTTTGAAGACACCTGGAACGACCCGTCCATCTCTGGGATCATTCGATGTTTACCCAAGCAGATGAGCGGTCCGGAGGCTCAACGGGCTACCCAAAGCCGGTACAGAAGTTGTGATTGGAGCCTGTACAGATCCACTTTGTGACAGAGTCTCTCAATTCCCTCAACTCTGCAGATGGTGGAGATCAGACCACTTGAATCATTGATGGCAGTTGAGTCTGTCCTATTACCTGTAATTCACAGTCAGTGCAGTAAACAATTATTGCTATTTTTGAGCAAGGCACTGGTGATGGGATAGACCCAAGATGGCAGCCTTTCCGCCCTTCTGGGGCCACTGAGCACCTCTGAGGCTACGAATACCAAGAGTCCTTGAACCTGGGCTCCACGACGCTCTCGCCCAGCGAGGCGAGTGTGACATGGGAGGTGGCGAAAGGGGCGTCTCAGGGATGAGCTCGGAAGAGATTTGGAGTTGTAGAACTGCGCACAGATGTTCGGATGCCCAGTTCAAAATCTGGAGCAAGGAGCACTGACGTTCAGGTTTTGTTGAATTCGCATGCAAAATGGATCTAAGGATTTATCAGATACTATACGATACGCATCCATACGCTCATTGACGCCGGTCAGGGTGTCCGGGGACGAAGGAAGGGAAAGGAAGGAAGGGGCGAAGGGCACTGGTGGAGGACAACTGGATGAGTGGCATTCCCCACTACCGATACTAGGAGCAAGAAGCTTTATAGTAACTAGAAGCTTCCTTGGGAATCGTTTCACCTGTAGTAACAAGTAGCTACTAGGAGCAAGGACGCTACCGAGTTCGTCCTTTAAGACCAAATCTATGTTCAAGCATGACCAGTGAAGATCCTCGGCACTGGTCGTTGATCGAGCTGTTTCGTTTCGCCATATAGACATCGACCGTGACGCTCGACGCTCAGGTAGATGACCTACTAACAGAGCTGAGTGAGGAGTATCCTGCCAGCTCGCCGGGAACCCCGTGGTGGTGAAGTGAGAAAGAGTTGAAGGGACTGCATGGACTTTGTTCATTTCAGACTTTCGTTTCAGCAATACGAATTGCTTCTGTGTAAAAACGGCATTGAACCCTTTGATCGGGCGCTGCAGTTTTCGTGCTCGACAGATCGTTTTTTCAATTTCAAGAGTGAAGATTACCCAGCAAGGAAGCTTTTGGGGTTTGCATGCCATCCTTTAGGTTTGCACAGGTCAGCGGTCCGGCCAGAACAATAAAGTATAATTGCAATAATATAACAATTCATGACTCTGAAATGGTGGGCCCTAGGGCCCAAATAAAGCGTCATCCGATAGACAAAAGGGTTTTTAGTAACGTCAGGGCCGGTTCATTCTATTGGCACAAGCTATTGAGTGAAAACTTACGTAGCCCGGAAAACATGTTATAGAGGTCTTACATAAACAACAGTAAGGCCACTACTAGTGGGGTATATCGGCAAAATCACCTCAAGACTCAGACTCCACAGCTATCGACCCAAGGGTTGTTCAGTGCAACAGGTGGAGAGCTGATGAGAAAAGAGACTGCTTCCTTATAGATTGGATGGGCTGTGATGATCAACAAAATGCCCGAGGGACTTCACCTTTCTCATTGCGAGTCCCTGCAGAATGAGTTCCGATGGGTTTTTCAGGTTGCAGCAAAATTTCCTATAGAGTTTGTTCTGAGGCTCCACGGCAAAAACCAAATATATGATTTATCAGAACAAATTGTTTCTTGAGCTTTGGATCCAGGCGTCTTCTGCGGCTGACACAACGTCACCCGTGAAATTGACAGGGGGATATTACACACATATATATATATAAAGTTATATACACACTATAATTACATAATGTATCATTAGAACGTTATATATCCGCGGGCGCTCGAGGTATCACTTGACGCATCGCAACTGCCTCACCTTTGCACAGCATTTGGCGACCCGTTGGGAAGGCTCAGTTCGGAGCAGGGTTCTGCCGAAGGACTGGAAGGTCTTAGAGTTGAGAGAGGCGATGGTGGAGCAGGACGGAGTGCTGTTTGCACCGGGTTCCCAGGCTTTTGACTTTTTGACGTAAGAAAGTTACGAAAGCCAGCCTTCGTAGAAGGCGCCAGCTGAGTTGTGTTTGGCGAACGAAGTGAGTAAGTAGGGGGTCTGGGGGGGGTGGCCCGAGAAAGCACCACGTATATAAACTCGAAATTAGGTTTTGGAGGTTGTGTTGGAGGTAATTTTTTGTGATTTTTGAGCGGCTGGTGATGTAAGAAATGCAACTTTCTTCATTTGCGTCATCTGCATGGTAAGGTGTAGTTTTACCGAGGAAGTTCAAAGCACGAATGCTGTGGATTGCTGCACGCTTCTAAAGGTTATCGAGCGGTGGACGGAAAGGGAACTTGAAGTGCTCTATACCTGGGTATGTGGATTGCTGCACGTTTGTCACGGTAGCGGTTGACGGAAAGGGAAATTGAAGTGCTATACCTGGCAACTGCCTTGTAGCTGCCCTGGGTCCGCGCGCGAGCCAGCAAAGCGCGCGCGCGGACCCAGGGTAGCGGTAGCGGACCCAGGGTAGCTACCGCTGCACTTTTACTATCTCTCTGCGCAACGTGCTCGTGGACCAAAAACGCTGGCTTTCGCTTTGCAGCTTCTCAGGTGGTGGCTGGGGAATGTCGTTCTTGTCGTGAGAGCATCGATGGTTCAATTTTGATGATGTCAATTGCCAGCGCAGCCAGGAACACCACCCACATTATTGACCCTAGATGGCACAAGGAGTTCAAGATAGTTCAAGGAGCAGAACTCACCAACACAAAGTGTTCTGAGCTTTGGTGCTTAAATAGAAAAGAAAAGATCAATAAGAATAGTTGCCCTCAGTGACTTGGGTGCCACTTGGGTGCCACAGACACATGGGCACCGACTTGGATCTGGGGCCCCAAATGGGGCCCCTGCTCCTTGGCCCCTTATGACTCTGGAATGATTTGTCGATGTTTGAGGGGCCCAGGCGTTAACAGTCAGCTTCACAGGCCTGGTCTGGATGTCCCTCCCCTTGCATTTGTCATCAGTTGTCTCTAGGAGTCAACCTGTTGTGTCACAATCAACCTTCTTCCAGGAAGTCAATCGAGCGAACAAAATTGTGCTGCTGATTGAGGTCTAAAGGTCCCCAAGGAGTTCCCTGATTGGATCTTGGGCATCCTGCAGGCGTGTCTTTGCGATGGGCTTCGCTGGTTTGGTCAGGGCATGGCCAAACCTTCGGTCGAAGGTAGATCCAAGCTTCACATTCCGAGCTCATCGAGCTGAAGGGCAGTTTTCAGTCTGAAAACCAGAACAACACAAAAAAACATCTCAACATCTCACAATCGTACTCAGGCAAGCACCAAGGTGGGTGCGCTGGATGCAACCGTGGACTACTTCTGGAGTTGGGCCAAGTGGTGCGCCGATATGACGACCCTCGAGCCTTTTTTCAGATTTGGAGCTTGTGCTGACTTGTGCTGTATGGTTTGTGGCTGAGAGGAGGGAAATCGATTGGTCCTGGTTTTCCGGTTTGAAAATATACAATGAGCTTTCAGATGATTACTAGATGACAGGATGTGTCACTCAGGCCGCAGGCCCTGTTTTCTTGTTTGGGTTCGTTCAATAAAAACCTGGTCACCCAGTCTTAATCGCGCACATTCGCACACCTCCCATGGGACTCAAGACGGCCCATTTGGCCCAGTTTCAGATGAGTTGTGTTCACTCCAAGAAGATGGTTTGAAACAACAGCCGATTGATGCGTTCAGGCCAGACATTTTTTGGGAACCGAGTGGATGTCGTGATTTCATGACAAGTTTCCTTGCTGCCCTGTGGAGCCCCTTGCCTTGGGGCATTCCAAAAAGTTCACCACTACATTATGGTAGGATACTACAATACATCATGATATTCAACCGAGGGCTTGACAGAGAAGCTCTTTACATCACTGGATCCCCCACGACAAAAAGGACAACCCATGGACATAGGTCGGATATTGTTCCACATTGATGCAAACAAGAGGTTTCACTGGCAGATGCACGAGGTACATGATCCGAAAGCACGAGACTCCGGAGGACTGATGGAGTGGGAGTAGCAATGCTGTGCAGCGACAAGCACGTGCATCCAGCTCGTGTCGGAATCTGCAGGAACGGTATCCAGAAGATGCAGATCAGGAAGGGTGCCGTTGCATTGAGATTCGGATGCCTGGCGTTGCAAACGCCTCAGAGGTAATTAATAGGCGACAAAACCTCTGATTTCAATTTCCCAAGTCTTTCTGGTTCAACATCACTGGCGCGGTGAAATGGCTCGACATAGTGAGCTGTTCCACACCAGAGTTCCACAGAGTTCCGGATCCTGGAGACGGAGGTGACAGACGACTCTTTGTTTTTCCAGACATTTTTGGGTGAAGCACTTCCATTCCTAAGCAGTAAGCACATTGATATTTCTTGAGTGGGAACAAGAGAGGTGAGGTTGAACCGCGGACAGGTACAGTACTGAAGCATGTGACATGGGCATTGCTACGTGACAGAGTGACGATGGCGAGCCGACCACAACGTTGGTCACGTTAGATTCCTTCTCAAACCCTTCAGAGCGTGGCCAGGCCAACACCTGGTCTTTATTTGGGTGTTTGCCTCAGACTTGCACATTTGTGAGATGCGTATAGATGTGTGTACAGTAACATGTTCTGCTAGTGTTGGTCCATCAAAAGACAAGGCTGAGGTTCAAGGCTCCGGAACCGGGCAAGATCAGACGACTATATAGACAGACAATGACAGACATGATCATCGTTCCACAAATAACCTTTGACCAAACCAACGGCAGAATTCCTGGAGTGTGGATGGTCAGAATTCCTGGAGTTGTGAAGTTGTGGAGGGAGCCGATTTGATTCATATCGACAAGTTCAGATGATCTCGACAGGGTCCTCAAGGGCAGAGGGTTCATTGCTGTCTCAGGTTAAATCCGAGCTGTTCGCCCTGTCCTGGCCCAGCCGCAGTCTCGGTGAAACGGCAGGAGCCGGGGTGAGCTCGGTGCTACTGAACGTTCCCGCCAAACACACTAGATCTTGACAATCACAACGGGTTTGTCTTCAAATGGCGGAGACCACCGCAGAGACAGGAAAAAGAGGCAAGGTTAGGATGATACAAGGAGTTCTCTCGCTCTATCTCAGTTGATGCATGGTTTCTGTCCACCAACCATAAGGGCATCATGTCATAGTCATAACACCCACAACCCTGCAACAAGTACTAGAACGGTTGGGATTGATCAAATCCTTTCGACTCTTTTGCGTGACGCACAAAGCAGCAAGAAGACAGTGGCTCATGATGCCAAGATTTCATGTTGTTTGTTGACATGTTTGACACAATCTTCATTAAACTGCACCATAGCAGAAGAGAACTCCTGAACAAAAACGAGCTGGTCAACTGGTAATCTTTCGCAACAAGTGTGATCTTTGGGCGTCACTCGGATCGTTTCCTCTCCATCCCTCATCAGAGGCCAAAGGCCCTGATGCAAGCGTGTGGTGCTCAGTGTGCTTGGCATTGCTCCAGATCATCGGCCTGATGTTTGGGCTGAAGTTCGTTTGCATTTGCTCAGGAATCCGCCTCAGCGCCGATCCCGAATGTACAAAGCTTGTCGGAAGAGCTGGGAGACCCGACAGGGAGATGGGATTGAAATCGCTAATAGGTTGGAGGCCATCGCTATTAGGAACAAGAAGCTACTAACTAGGGGCTCCTGGCATCGCTACTAGGAGCAAGGACGCTACTAGGGGCTCCTGGCCTTACTACTAGGAACAAGAAGCTACTAGGGCTCCTGGCATCGCTACTAGGAGCAAAGACGCTACTAGGGGCTCCTGGCCGTACTACTAGGAGCAAGAAGCTTCTAGGAACAAAGGCCATCGCTCTTAGGTTGGAGCCCGCCGTTTGAACAGCCATGCCCTGCACTGCACAGTTTTTCTGGGTGCTTCGTCCAGGAAACAAAATGCCAAGGAACCCATCGAACTGTGTCACAGATTCTTGACTATGACTGGCACAAGTCAAGGGACTGCTTTACAGTGTAAAACTCTACAGGCCACCTTTACTTGTCTTCTTTATACCCTGAAAGTATATTTAACTTACTGCATCGTCTCCACCAGGGTGACAATGCAAGGTCTTGATTCGCAATGGCTGCACTCCCCTAACCCAAACTCAATCGCCTTTCTTGGCGAGGCCACTTCCTGCTCCTGGCTCGGCGCGGCCGTCATGAGCGTCTTCCGGCTTGTGGAGATGGCCCTCACAGCAAGCTGGCCTGAAAGCAATATCCTGCTGGTCTGAGCACTAGACACGGACTGAGATCGTTTCTCCACCTGGCAGGAAGTTTTGGGTTCCCGCCGTGATACTAGGCCAAGTGCATTCCAAACTACCAATAAACCGCCAATCCAAATTGCCAGTCTCTCCACAATTACGAAGAGACCTCTGAGATTTCTTACGACTGTCCAGCCGCCAACACAGGTCAGTTCACAAAGTAACTAGCGAGCATGTCAAGTCAAGTTCAGGAAGGCCAACAGTATACCAGTATACTCAGTATACCAGTATATATACTCTCCAAATAACAGTTCTTTGTAAAGCTGGTGGTGTGCCAACCCAAGAAGCCAGCGATCGCAGCTGGTCATGCTGCAGGCCAGATCTGTAGGGAGCGTCTCGGGATCCTGGAACTGGAAGTGAAAAACTACTCGTTTGATGTAGTCTTGGCAGGCTTCTCTCTTTCCTTTGCTTCCACAAAGGCCAAGCGGCACATGAAGGCAACTGAAGACAGCTCTCAGGTTTCACCCGAACGCGGAGATCCGCTGTCCGCCCGTTTCCGGCGGCAGAATCTCAGGTGTGTTAAAAATTTGATTGCTAATGCGAAGGGTTGCATGTTGACATTCTTTGCATGAAAACGATCATCCCTCGTCATCTTTTGGTCCGACAGTTTGATAAACCTGGCCCTCCCTTCCCTCTCTCTTCCCTTATATAGCTCTAGTGCCATCCTTCAATACCTCTGATGGGGATCAGACGCTGTCGTGCAACTGCCCAGCTTGAAGGACCCTGATGTTGTCGCAGAGTGTTCTACTCACACTGCGCGAAAAGCAAGTCCTATGAACACTCCTTGAAAGGGTTTAGCTATGGCAGCAGCCGCTAGCCACTTGGCTCAACGAAATCTCCCAGTTCAATGGTGAGAGAGGCAGGGAGTTGCTTCGTGGAATGTGGAGAAATTGAAGTTAGCACAGACACCATCAGGATTCCTATGTTTACATGGTTCGATATTATTTTCTGATATTTTCTGTATGTGTCCCTTTATTATTCCTCTCTCTTAGGTTGGAGGCCATCGCTCTGATGTTGGAGGCCATCGCTCTAGGTTGGAGGCCATCGCTAGTAGGTTGGAGGCCATTTGCTATCTGGTTGGCCTCTGCCTCTCTCTCTCTCTCTCTCTTCCTTCTTCCCTCTTTCTCTTTTTCTCGCTCCTCTTCTCGGAGGATGAATGTGAGCTCCATGGAGTCGTTGAGACCGGTGCCTTCGAGGCATGTGGTGAGCTTTGCCGAGCTTCGCCACAGAACGGAAACTTGATCTGGCCACACCCGACCCGAACGGTGTTTGATTGTGACCCTTGATGGTATCTTCTTTTGTGTTCTGGCCGTCGAAAGCCTGTTCATGCAGTGGGTCAGTGCCAAACATGTTACTTTTTGCTCTGGTTCTTTGTCAATAGTTGATATGTTTGCCAACAACACAATCAGACGAATTCCTCTTCAGCAGCATGATGGTCCACGGTTTTTGCTCAGATTGTTCGAGCCTTTGCCACTCGGCCCAACATTCCCCTGTGCTTGCCTGGGTGCATGGACACGAGAAATCACGAATTGCCAGGCGGATGATCCACGGAGAAGTCGCAAGGGAGAATTCAAACGCTTGGACGGTCTCAACACGCGTTTGGAGGAGCCTCCCACATTTTGAATTGTTGACGATCAGACACCGTCGCACCGTCCCAGTCTAAATCATACCAGAGATTGGAGGAGAATGAGGTGGGGAATCACCAACTTCCTATGCACTTGTACGGCTTGTCGGGGGGTTGTAGATGCATGGGACAGAAGCCGTTGTCGACTCATGTTTTTCCTGGTTGCGAGACAGACTTTTTCTTCGTCCCGAACAATCCTGAACGCAGGATCGCGATCCAGCGTCTACTTTCGTGAATCCAGCTATGCGAGTGCACGTCGGATTGCCAGGACAAATGAGAGGATACATAAAATGTTGACAGTTCCTTGCAACACTCTTGCCAAATTGCAGTATGGGTTCATGGTGAGTAACGGGTGGAGAAGTGAATCATGTATCAACACCCGAACTCCAACAATTCTTTTCTGCTCCTGCATGCCGGACTAAGCTACAAACAAGGATCAAAGCGTTTGGATGGCACACGTTTCCCTGTTTGCCTGCTTGACGTTGGACAGCCCATTTGAAGGAGGCTACAAAGGAACGCTGACCAGCGACGATGTGCTCATTGTTCCTGAACTGCTGCTCAACTTGCAAATGCAGTCGCCTTCGTTTACTTTATTTAGAACAGCCTCTTGGGATGCAGCTCTGACATTCTGGAGCCGTTGATCCAGCAACATTGGAGGTCTATCAATCAAAACAAAATCCGGCTAGCGCATTTCTTCGTCCTTGGCCTGCCATCTTCAGTTCATGTTTTGAGGCTTTGTGGTCAGGAGGACCTCTCCTTGTACCACAACATGGTTGAGGAGATCAGGCATGCCCAAGCGGAAGGCATGAAAGATGCGCGCTGGGCCTCTTGGAAGGACAGGAGGGGGATTTCCTCTCAAACACAAAAGATCATAGTGGAAATCAGTGATATCTAGCCTCATCTAACCTGGACCCGAGAGTTGTCCTAGGAAGAAACATCAGCAAACACACTGGACATGTAGCTTTTTTCCTGTGCCTGGTTTCTTGGCAAGCTTCTTCAATGGTGTTTGGATTGTACTTTGGACATACATGTTGGACTCCCAAGCCCCAAGCCCGTTTGATCCCGTTAGTTAGGATGATGTTCATGTGTGAAAGGACGGCTGCCATCTCATCAACAAGGCCCCCGACTGCTCGGCCACCTATCGCGACGCGGTCGCGAAGATCATTGCATACTTCAGGACTCCGGGCATCTCGCGTCAGTGGGATGAGTTTCTGCAGTTTCCCTGGTGAAGCAGATCTACCTTGGGAGGTCAGACAGATAGCAAACAGATTACACATCCAGTTGTGAGTCTTTGTGCCTTGGGACGAATCACTATATCTACGTACATAATATAGATCATGGAGATGTGCCATGATATATCATGTAGTTCATGTATGGATATTATATGATAATGTAGATATAGTACGGTATGGAGTACAGAGTGAGAGACTCTTGAGACCCTTGTCCCATTTCCTCACCGCTACCCGAGTGTCCTCTCACACATCGCCAGGATCTCGGCGCCGTCCATGTATTCGCGCTTCAACTGGTATGCAGCCTGTCAGGAGATGAGGTGAGCTGTCCGTTAAATTCAAGCATTTAGGAGTTTTCTGGCCAGGTTAGGCTGTCCCTGCAAGTCTCCGTACCCCCTAACCACACTGTAGACTGTGGCACGGGTAGAAAGAAATGCTCAGCGCACCGCAAGTCCCAAGTGTGAGGAACATTCTGTTCACCGCTCTTGGGAGTGAGGCAAGTGGTGCTGATTGGAAGCCACTCCACCATGACACTGCAGCCTTCAGCCAACGCCGCTTGGGGAAGCAGAACATCACTGTTGGGGTTTCTCTTGGAGGCTTGAGGACTGGAGAACGATGGACGTGGGAGTGTGCCGGAGTCATGGTTTCACTTCCTGAAATCATGGTCTTCACGCAAGTTCCCTAGACAATTTGACATGGGAACGTGGCTGGTTTCATTGTTGAAGCTTGCCTCTCCATTGTTTGTTCCTTGCCATTGATTGGCTAAAAGGATGGTGACTGCAAGGTAGGTTTGGGGTTGGCTGTCACTGGGCGCAACCACAAGCATCAAGCCTTGCACCGACCCCCCCCACTCTTTTTAAGACAGTCTTCATGATTCTTTATTGTATGGGATACCCAAAGACAGTTGAGCGCACATGAATGAAAGAGAGGGACTTGCGAGAGAATTGGTGGGTGAATTTCATTGAATTTCTTAACTACTAGCGGTGGCCTCCACCTACTAGCGACGGCCTCCACCTCAGGCAGGTGAAGAAGCATGAGCTATCCTGCGTCCATGCTAGTAGCTACTTGAGCTACTAGCTACCTCTCCCTTACGTCTTTAAGTAGGCGCCTACTCAATTAGGGAAGGGGAGGAGCGGAAAAAAAACATATTTATTTTGGTGGGCTTTTGGGTATTTTTGGTTCGTTTCAGCCTGTGTGAAGGCGAACGAGAGTTGGCCTTCCGCCATGTCTCCCATGGCACCTTGACCTACTTCCCTCAGCCCAATGGCATGGCCTTCTCTTTCGGCCAAAGGTGCGTCAGTTCATGAAAGGTTTCTCAAACCACAGGTCTTGGTGGTCTACTCAACAAAGGGCCATGGGTTTGCTGTTTGTGCAATATGCTTTGTTGGCACCTTTGCACTGGTTCACAGAAACTAGGATTGATGGGTCTCGCGAGAGAGAGAGAGAGAGAATCAGTAGCAGCACAATATGTTCATTCTTTTTGTTTAGGAGGGTTGACTGACTGTCAAAGTCAGGGCTTGTTTGTTGAGGATCAACATCAACTGGAAGCACGGCATCAACGCGTTGCCAGTCGAAAAACACAATCAACTTGGCCGCATCTCAATTATCATTTGGGGTTGGTCAGAGCTAGTTGAAGATGATCCTGAAGCCGGAGAAGTGGCCAAGGCCGAGGCCTTCCAAAAGCCTTGCAAGCAGTTCCAGAAGGGCAAATGTACGTACGGCGAACGCTGCAAATTCACACATTTTGAAGCTGAGTCGGCAGAGGCTCCACTGGCGAATGGACAGCAAACAGCAACGGATCCGTGTTGAGAGAAGAGCACCTCACAAGGGTATGCGGAGGAATCAATCAGATCAAAGCCTGCGATCTATTGCGAGACACTCTGAATTCCGATCGATCGATAATTTGAGCCACGGGCCACGGACCTCCTGCATTTGATTCAATTTCGACCAACGAGAACAAGACGATACAAGGCGTTACACGATCAAATACACATGAAACAAATGGAATCCATAAATTATGTTAGTTACATTATCATAAATTATCATGAATTCCATTAGTTCTCTATTGTAATGCATTTCTATCATAATTGATTTAATATATATGTATATATATATATACATATTTGCGAAGATCACGGCAGCGAACGAGGTCTGCCAACCCAAAGAAAAGCACGTGCCGAGCGAAACGGCACACCACGCACCGTTTTCCGCGGGAAGTTCCCACCCTCCTTGACAGTGAAAGTCACGGGTCAGTAGAAACTCAAGTCCTGCCCACCTCTCCTATGTGAACAGCGTTCACTTGACACAGGAGAAAAGAGCTTTAGTGGCTCTCTTCGGTCCTCAATCCGTCGGCTTCCAGCCAAGTGTTGATGGCCATCCGGAGTGACGTTCCGCCAGCTACAGTGATGAGGTCTGGTGGCAAGATCCTAGTGCTGCACAATGCACATGGATCGTACAGGTCGACATTTCGTCGATCACGACCCTCCAGGGAGCTGCAGCGTGGATCTACGTGCAATCTTTTTCCATGTCGTGAGATGTGAATGCCACAGCGCAAAGGACATTCCAGCCTGTGTTCGTCCATCTCTCTAAGGCAGCGGCGCAGTATGTGATCTGCTCTATACATCAGTTCACCACTGTAGTTCACGGCAAGGTCCAGGGCCTTTCGGCTCTCCATGGCAACGCTCTGAGCTTCCAAAGTACCAACTTTCCACAATTCGATCTCCTCTCGCAGTCGGCGAGAGACGGTGGTGTCTCCTGTCTGAGTCTCGGCATCAGCTAGGTGCATTTGCAGGAGTGCAGGATGCAGCGCTCGATTCCAACGGCCAAGCAGGAGCATAGTGCTCAGCAACACGATGAATAAGGTGACAATGGTGACAACCATCATGTTGAAGAGATCATCGTCGGATAGGGTGTCGGTTGGTATAGCCATAGCTCCAGGTAGCAACAGCAGGATCAAGGCCCAACTGAGGAGATGTAGCATGCGATACTCGTTGACATTTATCGTGGGAGGCTCGCCATGGCTCGGAGCGTAAAAAAAATAATACGCCGTTTCGCCCGGAGTGCTTTTTTATTTGGATTAACAGACCTCATTCGTTGCCGTAATTTTCGCATTTATAACGAAACCGCTAATTCCCCGCAACCTTTACGACCTCATCTTCAAGATTAATAATAAAGGAAATAAAACCCATTACCATCGAGAAGCATCGAAATCCCAATAAAACCATGTTAAAACATATCCTAATTTCGAGCCCTATTGAATTCCCTTCAATAATCCGCAATTCATTTAAACCCGCATTTATAGGGGAATACGTCGATTTTAAGCCGCTTATTAATTGCAATCGATTGCCCAAATTTAGTAAGGAATATTCCGACGTTGGTTTAATTTATAATTATATCGGAATTTTATCTATTGTGTTTCTTTTGATGTAAATTTTATTACCAAAACGGATAATAATTTCTAAATCAGCGCTACATCGTTTTGTTGATTAATAAGGATAGGCATTATCGACCATACGATCTTTTATTTGATGATTAGAGATTTGTAAGTATGTTTTAGCTTTTGACGAGCATTATATCGATGGGAATGTCGACGCCGTTACGGAAATTATTACTTTATTTGAATATAACAATTATGAATTTAAAATTTCTTTATTAATTTTTTTTATGGGGAATAATAGTTATTTATTTATGGATAAAATATATTTATTTAAATTATTTTATTAATATTATTATTATTAATATTATGGATACGATTGAGTAAAAATGTACGGATTTTTGAAGCAATATATTTGAAATAATAATACCATATTTTAGGTTTTCGATTTTTTATTTTTATTTTGGTTTTTTTATAATTAATTTACGGTTTTCGTTGCGATTTGAATTTTTCTTAAATAATTGGATTTATTTATATATTTCGATTTTTATATATAAACAATAATGCAATTATTTTATATATTTTGTTTTTTTTTTGGGGCATATATTGCGTGCATTAATTCTTTTCGTTATAATGTTCGGATGCATGCATAAGGAAATAAGGACATATTATAGTATAATTTTTTTAATATTTATTGTTGATATTTTGATAGAGGATATTTATGTCGTTTTCTATTGCAACGTTCGAACGCATACGTAATGGAATAAGGCCTTTTTATAATATTATATTTTTAAAAATTATATGCGTGAATACGTCGTAAATTTAATATTTATATTTGATATTTTAATAGAATATATTTATATGGTAATATTGTATTGATAACGCTTCAATTTGTTTGATGTTTTGAAAGATTTTGTATGTATTATTGTTAATATATATTTGTATTATTTTATCTATTAATTGAATAATTCAAATTAAACATACGAATATTTATATATATATATTAAATATATATATGTTGTAATTCTTGCTTTATATATTTTATTTAAAAAATAATATAATCTAATTGAAATGACAAAAAATTATTCTAATTAATATATGTCCTTAGAAAATAAATCCGGACAATCCGGACCATTAAAATCGAAATTTCAATAACCATATTTTAATATATATATTTTTTAAATATAAACGTACAAATACGTTTTTTTCGTAAAAAAAAACGTTTTTTTTCCGAAAGCATTGCGAAGGGTTCTTCCGGAAAATCCCTTGAACACTAACACTTCGACACTTATACTCACACACTGACACTTCCACACTTGCACTTGAACACTGACATTTCGACACGTACACTTGAACACTTACGCTTTCACACTTACACTTGAACATGAACATGAAGACTACACTTCTAGACGTATCCCAGTGTAAGTGGAAGGGTGAAAAAGCATCCAACGGCAAGTATCCAAGTGCAAAAGTGTACAAGTGTGAGTATGGAACAAGTGTGAGTATAGAGCACGGGAGATGTCCTGATAAAAAAAACTTTTCCCCACTTGATAAACTCTCTCCGAAAGGCGGAGGGTGGGACGAACAGCGTCAACCGAAAATGCAACCCTCTGCGGAGATCGTGCGTGTCGGGCGCGTGAAATGCAGGCGAGAGTGCGATTGGTCCGGTGTGCGCGCAATCCTCTGCGGAGATCGTGCGTGTCGAGTGCGCGAAATGCAGGCGAGAGGGCGATGTACGAAATTACCGCGCAACCCTCTGCAGAGATCGTGCGTGTCGAGTGCGCGAAATGCAGGCGAGAGTGCGTTTTGATCTATGCCCGCGCAACCCTCTGCCGAGATCGTGCGTGTCGAGTGCGCGAAATGCAGGCGAGAGTGCGATTTGTCCGGTGTGCGCGCAACCCTCTGCGGAGATCGTGCGTGTCGAGTGCGCGAAATGCAGGCAAGAGTGCGATTGGGTCTGTGCGCGCGCAACCCTCTGCGGAGATCGTGCGTGTCGAGTGCGCGAAATGCAGGCACTGGCGATGTTATAGTACTACTTTAGTACGCGGAGTATCTGGGGAGTTGCAAGATGTGAACTGGTGACTTTGTAACGCGGAGTATCCGGGGAGCTAGAAGATGAGATGGGGAGCTGGAAGATGAGAACTGGCGCCTTTGTAGTAGAACTTTAGTACGCGGAGCAATCTGTGGAGCTGGAAGCTGAGAACTGGCGACTTTGTAGTACAACTTTAGTACGCGGAGTATCTAGGGAGCTGGAAAATGAGAACTGGCGAAGTTGTAGTACAACTTTAGTACGCGGAGTATCTGGGAACTGGAAGATGAGAACTTGCGACTTTGTAATACGCGGAGCAATCTGTGGAGCTGGAAGCTGAGAACTGGCGATTTTGTAGTATAACCTCAGTACGCGGAGTATCTGGAGAGCTGGAAGATGAGAACTGGTGACTTTCTAGTACAACTTTAGTACACGGAGTATCTGGGGAGCTGGAAGATGAGAATTGGCGACTTTGTAATACAACTTTAGTACGCGGAGCAATCTGTGGGAGCTAGAAGCTGAGAACTAGCGACTTTGTAGTACAACTTTAGTACGCGGAGCATCTGGGGAGCTAGAAGATGAGAATTGGCGACTTTGTAATACAACTTTAGTACGCGGATGAATCATCTCTCGCGGCTGCTCTGGCGCCCCTACAGCTGAGCCATATCTCCCGACCACCCGGCTCTCTTGAGAGGTTGAGACACACACACAAAGACCCACGCACTACCTCAACTTACTCGGACGCACAGATAAACAGAGACTCATACACACACAGACATAGATACACCTCAACTCACTCGACCTAACACTTCACACTGAACAGAAAACTCACACTCTCACTTCCTAGGTGATAAAAAAATAATGCTTTCGGGCCACTCGTCGTCTATTTTTTTTGGTAAAATATATTTATTATTTACAATTATTCAATACCATAATAAGATATATCAAATATATATATATATATTTTTTTTGAAATATTGTTTTATTTCAATAATAATAAATATTATTTTACGAAAATCAATATAAAAACATATTACGATTTATAAATATATAATTCCTATATATACGTAATATTTCATTTCATTATACTGCCGATCAATATGCTCACTAGCCCATAATAAATAATATATAAAAAATATGTCAAGATCCCCGATCAAAAGCCTAAACCTAACATCATAAAAACATATCGGCTAAACATTATAGATCTATCCGGATAAAAAGACATTCTCAAAAAAACATCGACAAACATTTACAAACTAATCCTAAAACACAAATCAAATCAAATAACAATGAAGCTATATTTTTAAAAAATACAATTCACCCAACAATAATCTAAAAAACCATATATATTATATATAATCTATAATTTCAATCGCAATATTAAAACAAAAAAATATATTTCTAATA